CAAAAAAAAAAAAAAAAAAAAAAAAAAAAAAAAATTCTACTTAGTCATGATGTATAAACCTTTTTATAGTTGCTAGATTCAGTTGCTAGTATTTTGTTGATTTTTGCACTCATATTCATAAAGGAAATTATATTTTATGTCATATAAAGAATGTGTCTTTATTAGTTATGAACTGGCTATAATGACATCTCCAATAATATTCATCTGAACGTCTTTAAGACATGCATGATAAAGTACTGTTGGCATTTTTAACTCAGCTTTTTTTTTTTTTTTTTTTGAGACGGAGTTTCACTCATGTTACCCAGGCTGGAGTGCAATGGCGCGATCTCGGCTCACCCCAACCTCCGCCTCCTGGGTTCAGGCAATTCTCCTGCCTCAGCCTCCTGAGTAGCTGGGATTACAGGCACCATGCCCAGCTGATTTTCTTTTTTGTATATTTAGTAGAGACGGGGTTTTGCCATGTTGATCAGGCTTGTCTTCAACTCCTGACCTCAAGTGATCTGCCCACCTCAGCCTACCTCAGCCTCCCAAAGTGCTGGGATTACAGGTGTCAGCCACCACACCCTGCCTTAACTCAGAAAATTTTGAGTCTCCTAATGCTCTGCCATCTTCTTACTGGAATATTTGTGTTATGTAATCCATCATGTTTCCCTTTTTATTCTAATTATCAGGTATTCAAATTCAAGATATTTGTGCATGACTACACGAAGAATAATCATATGTTATAATCATAATTACTTCCAAATAACAGCAACCACTAACAGCTTCAATGTAAGATTTTGCCAAATGATACTCACTCTTAATGTCCACAATTCTAACTAAGCAAGCTAAATATGACTGTAAAAGCATCTGCAGGAATTATAAAAAGCAGAAGATTTATATTTAGAAATGGTCTTTCAAACTACTCCAAAAAAAAAGACAGTGAAATAAACAGCTTGTTGTGGACACTTACTATAATGAAAACAAATACATATGTATACAAAAGATAAAAAAAACTTAGAGTCTGGAGATCTGAATCTGAGTCTAGGCTTTGCCAATGAATTTGCGTTACCTTAAAAAAGTCAACATTGAGCCTCCAATTCTTCACCCAGAATCTGGAAACAATACTAATAACCCATCTTGAGAAGCAGATAGCATCTGCAGTATCTCCAAAATTACTCTAATAAAAAAAATATTTTAAATCCAAGAAATTAGAGGACATGCAATGAAAAAATTATAAAAGAGAAAAAGAAAATAACAGTTATAATTGTGAATTATTGTTGATACTGAGATTGTGGAATTTAACACAATTTTATTAAGCAATGATATGCAAACTAGAGGGGTCATAATTATGAATGATTATAACCAAATCCAAGAGGTGGGGGTAAAGAGAAGGAGTGCTTGGGGAAAATAAAATAAGAGAAGTGAAGAAAAAGTTGAATTGTCTTATTTTGCTGAGAGAGAAACTGCAGATCCTGATTAATTTTTTAAGAAGCCAAGAAATGGCCAGGCATGGTGGCTCAAGCCTGTAATCCCAGCACTTTGAGAGGCTGAGGCGGGCGGATCACGAGGTCAAGAGATCGAGACCATCCTGGCCAACATGGTGAAACCCCATCTCTACTAAAAATACAAAAAAAAAAAAAAAAAAAAAGAAGTCAAGAAAGTAAAATTTAGTTTCCTATAAATCTAAGGATAGTAGTGCTAATTTACAACTAATTGAACTAATTTAATTGAACATGTGAATTACCTCACTACCCTCCCCAAAATACACAGAAATCACAGAAAAAACATACAAGTAGAAATGAATCCATAAAACCATAGCATTGCTATAAACCTGAGAGGAATGTCACCAGCAGACTTTTGAGGGCTATAGACGAATTTTGATGGTTCTGAAAGTCGGTCCAAATTGCCAACAAAATTCAACAGACTAAGGAGCTAATAAATTCATCCAGGTGATAAATCATCAAAGAGAAGAATCATTAAAGTGAGTTTTTCCAATAAAGTATCTGCATAACACTTAAGTAAGAGACAATGAGGGTTGTGAGAAGGGCTAACACTTGGACAGTAAGCTGGATAATTCATTAGAAGGAAAAGATCCACATAATAATTCTGTTGTCAGAGGAGCTGAAAACAGTGTTTCTCTCTTGAATAAAACTTAGAGTACAGCTCTACTAAGGAGGAAGTCTAACTTTAGAGATTACCAGAATGGGAACTAGGTTTATAGGAAGGAAACTGATAGTAACCCCACTGACTTTCAACTTTCTTAACAGCTGAAATAGGAAGATCCAGCATAGAAAATACTCATAAATCATAGAGAAGAACCTATTCACATGTACCCTCACTATACCACCAACTTCCTCATTAATCCTACAAACATGCAACCATCAGAACCAGTATACCTATAATGAAAACTTGCATTGATTCTCTGCCAGGTCAACAGGGCTACTTATTTGGACCAAGTATATCAATTCTGGCCACCAGCACCATATATTGTATACTATGAACACAAAAATATATACAGAGACCACCAAAAATCATTAAATATTTAAATAAACTAATAATATTGGAGGAACCAAATTTTTTAAAACTTTAAACAATTACTTAATTCAGATGTATTAGGTCTCCCATGGGCATCTTGATATTTAGAAAATGGAAGGGAGGCAGAGGCTATCTTTGTGTAGCTGTAACAGCAGCAAAATAAGCTCCATCATCTAAGAGAATAGAATCCATATTCATTAGCTTCATTCAAAGGTATAAGGACCAGGTGGAAGAGAAGTTGTAGAGAGGATTTGCAGCAACAGTTACACTAATTTTCTGACCTCTAGATCACAGCTAGAGTTATATGATCTTAAAACTGAAAATGTCCTTGAATCCCTGACTTTCACTCCTGTAGTCTTTCAAATGATTTTGTACATACCAAATTTTTTTCAGCATCAAATATATACAGTGTTTTTTATTTGCTATACTAATTTAGTCTGATACAGTAGTTGGTATATAAAGATGTTCAAAATATAAAGAAAACTTTAACACTGGGAATTTGATATTTATTATTTGACCCAGTTTGGATTTAAAGGCAGTAATGTCTTGATTACCAGTGGAAAATAAGATATTGGTAGTCCAAGACATGCAGTGGTAATAGACTTACTTGAATTATCAAATGTCATCACCTGAAATAAGGGGCCTGTGAAAATAAGACCTGTTAGCAATTGTTTGTTATGACAGAACACTAAAATGGAAATAAGAAATAAACGGGCTGGGGTGGGTGGGCTGAGGTGGCAGTTTTGACAGCCTTTGAAAAATTAGAGAACAATGATGACAAGCACAGGGTTTGAACTTTATTTAATTTTTAAATTTGATATGGCATCTCGCTACATTCCCTAGGCTGGGCTTGAACTCCTGAGCTCAAGTGATCCTTCTGCCTCAGCCTCTCAAAGTGCTGGGGTACAGGTATGAGCCACCACATCCAGCTGGCTTTAACTTCTTGACTCAAAACTTGCTCCAACACACAGAGAGCTTCTGTGATTTCTTATCTTTGTCACTATTGATGGGCCAGACAACTTTTTGACCCTGTGGCAAAAGGGTGAGGAAGGCTGTCCTGTGCTCTGTAGGATATCTCAGTACCTCTGGACTCTATCTGCTAGATGCCACTAACAGCTCTCCCTAACCCAAATTGTGACAACCCAA